ACTGCTCCCCCAGCTTGAGACAGAGCAACCCACAGAGGGCTCCACAGAGGCAGCCGCCTCCAGACCCCCCATCCCTCCCACCCCCCCATCCCTCCCACCCCACCCCCGCAAGGCCCCGCCAGCCCCCAAGCACCCTCGCTCCCCTAAGGGCAAATGAGCAGGACCTCTCGGGAGAGGGTCACTCCCCAGGTGGGCTGGGGCGGGGCACGGGAGGGTGAGGGGGACCGCATGGGATGGGGGTTGGCATGGGCCAGGGGGGTCGAGCTCCCTCCCCCGCCCTGGAACAGGCTGGGGGCTGGGAGCTGGGGGCTGGGGCTGGGCTGGGGCTGGAACTGGGGCTGGAACTGGGGCTGGGGCTGGGGCTGGGGCTGGGCTGGGGCTGGAACTAGGGGATGGAACTGGGGCTGGGGCTGGGCTGGGGCTGGGGCTGGGCTGGGGCTGGGGCTGGGGCTGGGGCTGGGGCTGGGGCTGGGGCTGGGCTGGGGCTGGAACTAGGGGATGGAACTGGGGCTGGGGCTGGGCTGGGGCTGGGGCTGGGCTGGGCTGGGGCTGGGGCTGGGGCTGGGGCTGGGGCTGGGCTGGGGCTGGGGCTGGGGCTGGGGGCTGGGGCTGGGCTGGGGCTGGGGCTGGGGCTGGGGCTGGGGCTGGGGCTGGGGCTGGGGCTGGGCTGGGGCTGGGGGCTGGGGCTGGGCTGGGGCTGGGGGCTGGGGGCTGGGGCTGGGGGCTGGGGCTGGGCTGGGGCTGGGGCTGGGGGCTGGGCTGGGGCTGGGGGCTGGGGTGGGGCTGGGGCTGGGGGCTGGGGTGGGGCTGGGGGCTGGGCTGGGGCTGGGGCTGGGGCTGGGGGATGGAACTGGGGTTGGGGCTGGGGGATGGAACTGGGGCTGGGGCTGGGCTGGGGCTGGGGCTGGGGGCTGGGCTGGGGCTGGGGCTGGGGCTGGGGTTGGGGCTGGGGCTGGGGCTGGGGCTGGGGCTGTCAACCCCCCACTTGGCAGGGCTGCTGTTGGGACCAACTGCAGGAGCGAGTGGGCGAGTTCTTTCTACATTTTCAAGTGTCCTTACAAGGAGCACATTTAAGAATAAGAATAAGAATAAAAGAATAAGAATAAGAATAAGAATAATTCTTACAAAAGCACACTGTATTGGACCCCTTGCCCCTCCCATCCCAGCCGGCTTTGTACCTCGGGGAACCAGGCCTCCGCTCCCCGTGGGTCTGAGCCACCCACTGGCGCACGCCCCGCGCCGCGGGCTCTGGGTCGCCGGGGAGCAAAGCTTTGCGAACAGCTCCCCCTGCTGTCCCGAAGCGCCCTGGGCTCTGTGCCTGCGAGCGGTTCCGCCAGGCCCAAGAGCACGCGCAGGTTTTGTCGAGTTACCTGGTGCTGGATCTTGAAGGTGAGGGAAACCTCGTCACAATCCCGCCATTCACCCAGAGCCCGAAGGCCCCCTCCGCAGAAAGGAGGCCTCCCATTTGCCAGGGGCTGACTCTAAGGGAAACTGAGTCACGAGAGGATCGTAAAACCCAAGCTGCGGAAGGGGGACCTCACAGTCCCGGCTGTCTCGGCTGTCTCGGTCTGAAACCTTCTGCAGGGGTCCCGGGCTGCTGAGAGCCACCTGAGCCAGGTGCTCACTGGTGGGGGCTCGGCCACAGGAGTCAGGCTAGGACCCCACCTCCAGGGACCAGCTCAGCCGCTCCAGGCCACTCGTTAAGAGATACCGGCTTAATCTGACCCTCTCATTTCGAAAAGGACAGACAGGCAGGGACTCACCTAAGGTCACACCTGAAACCTGTGAGCAGGACCGTGCCCCCCCCCCCCCCCATCCCACAGCAGAACCAGAAGCCTGCCACCAGCTCATCCCACCTCCCTCCTTGGGCTCTGTGCCCCGCCTGTCCCTCCCCCACAAAGGGATCAGAAGATGACTGGCCACAGACCCCCGTGATTCCAGAGTTCCCAGGGCGAACACAGGCCCTCCCTCCCCCAGGTCACCCCACAGGTCCAGCAGCTTTCTGGGCTATGTGCATGTTTATTTTTAAACTACTCCCAGGAGCAATCACTTCCAGGTCAGCAATAAGTACATGGCTGGGCACTCAGAAGCCACTCAAGTGCCTTGTGGTCAAGGGGGAGGCAAGAGAGACTGGGGGTGGGTGGATCTTCCTCGCATCTTGCACTTTCCATCTCCAGAGGAAGACCTACCCCCCCTCCCCCCGGCCTTGGGGAAGGTCACCAAGACGGAAGCCACCCAGGCCCTCCACTGCCCACTGACATGGAGCGAGAGCCCCGGTCACACTGCCCTGGCTGCTCTGACCAGGTCCGCCTCCCTCCCACTTAGCTCTACCTGCTCTGCAGCTGAGACCGTGATGCGAATCATAAAAACCTTAGTGGCTCAGATGTTTCATTCATGATAGGAGGGACTGGACCAATGCACGAAGCCAGGGAATCTCATTTGCAAGTTAATCAGAAGAAAGGCTGGAGAGTTAATAAAATTCCTGAGCCATTATACATGCATTGAATAGTAAAGCGCTGAGATATATTTTAAAGTTTCTCCTAAAAGGACTAAGCTGCTTTTGCGTGTGCGTATATATTATTCATCTGAATGGCTCCTAGTGGGATCTTTAGGAATCCATCCCCCGAGTTAGAACAGAATGGAAATGCTTTTACACACCTGGAGCCCCTCGGCCTGCTCCAGACAGATGGAGCAGCCCCCCAGCCCCCAGAGCGCTGGTCTACCTCTGCCTCCCCCAGGAGCCTTGTCTGCCCGCCCCGGCCTCCAGGCAGGGCTCCAGCGCGTATTGCTTCAATGACACAGGGCAGGTTTCTCTCTCTAAGCCTCGGTTTCCTCATCTGTGACATGGTCCCTGACATTCCAGTTTGCCATGTGTCTTATCAAATGTCTAGCTCCTGCAGACATTTAAATCAGAAACCCCTGCCCGGCCGGTGCGGCTCAGTGGTTGAGCGTTGACCCTGCACCAAGAGGTCGCTGGTTCGATTCCCGGTCAGGGCACATGCCCAGGTCGTGGGCCCGACCCCGGGGGGGGGGGGGGCCCTGCAGGAGGCGGCCCGTCGTTCTCCCTCTCCTTCCCTCACTCTAATATCAATAAAGAAAAAAATGTTATTTTTAAATAGTGAGGAAACACAGTGTTCCCCGTATCCACAGGAAATACAAGATCCTCTGCCTGAACCGAAGGCAGTCAAACCCTACGCATCCTCTTTCCTCCACGGACCAATGATGAAGTTTAATTCACAAGTTGGACACGGTAAGGCATTGCCACCTGGTAAAGCAGAACGGCTGTAACACAGCATCATGCGGCCGCGGCGACGCATCGGGGAGCCCTCGTGACACCTCCGTGCAGGCTCGGGGCTTCCCAGCGCAGCACGCGGCTGCCAGGCAGACGCTTCTGTTCCGTCCCTTCCACCCAACTGCGCGCACCACGCACGGTGGCCACGACTTTCGGAGTTGAAGGTGCCACAGCACAGTCTTTTTCCTCCTTCGCCATGTCGGATGGATCGGTTCTCACCGTAGATCTTAGCAACCTCAGCGTCGTTTCTTCTTTCCTTTTAGGTCGGGGTTCCCCTCTTCACGTGAAAGCTCCCCCGCTTCTCTGCGGTCTGTGGGAATCGCCATTCTTGTGCTCTGGGGCCACGATACGTAAAATAAGGGTGACTTGAACACGGGCCCTGCAATGCCGTGACAGGCTGCTAAGGGACCTGGGGAGCGTACAGTGTGGGGACACTGACAATGGGACGATACACATCGGTGGGACAGAGAGACAGCAAGAGGTTTCGTCATGCGCCTCTGGAGGGCATGCGACTTAAAACCTATGACTGCCCTGGCCAGGCAGCTCGGTGGTTAGAGCACCGTCCTGCCAAGCTTGCAGGCTCGATCCCATCAGGGCACGAGAATCGACCAGTACGCCCTGGCCAGCAGAGCTCGGTGACGAGACCACCAGCCTGTGCGCTGGAGAGTCACAGGTGTGATTCTCAGTCAAGGGCACGTACCCGGGTTGCAGGTTCTACCCGACCCCAGTCAGGCCTCCTGCGGGAGGCAACCAATCACTGTGTCTTTCTCTCACCGACGTTTCTCTCTCTCCCTCTCTCCCTCTCCCCTTCCCCCCTTCCCCCCTTCCCTTCCATTCTCTCTAAAAATCAATGGAAAAAGTATCCTCAGGTGGATTAACAAAAGAAAATAATCAACCAATAAAGGTATAAGTGGAACAACAAATCAATGTTTCTCTCCCCCCCCCAAAAGGCCTATTTTTTAAGCTTTTTAAACTATTTTTATTGATTTTTAGAGAGAAAAGAAGTATCAGTGTGAGATCCATCGATCAGCTGCCTCCCACACGCCCCTACCGGCAGATCAAGCCGGAAACCTGGGCATGTGCCCTGACCTGGAATCGAACCAGCACCTTTCAGTGCAAGGGACGCCCGATCCACGGAGTCAAACAGGCCGGGACGAAAAAACGAGTTTAATAAATAAATAAAACCTGTGACTTGTTTATTTCTGGAACCTTCCATTTAACGTTTTGGGACACAGTGGGCCATGGGCAACCAACTGCAGCACCGCGGAGGCAGCCGCTGTAGCTCACACGGCAGGGGAGGGCTGCACCCCACGGGACTCTCCAGTTGGTTCCTGAGAGGTCGCCAGAGACTCTGGGACGCTCTCAGAACACACGGAGGCGGCGAGCGCGGAGCCTCTGGAAGACCTCAGGTCAGGCGAGCAGCAACACTGCACCGCTCCGACAGCACGCCGACCCCAAAACGGACAGTTTAAATACAAGCTTTATTTTAAATGTAGAGAAAAACTGAAAATAAAGTATTTTTTACAAATTATACCAACACTGAAAACATAATTTGGGAATGTTGAATATGAATTCTTTTTTTTTTTGGTACGTGCCCCTAGCGGGAACCGAACCTGGGACTCTCTGGTCTGCAGGCCGATATTCCAACTGCTGAACCAAACCGGCCAGGGCTGAATATTAATTCTTAATTCAAAATAACGACACTCATCCTGGTGATGGCTAATATGAAGTTTATTTAAATCCGGTCGTTTATATAAGCTTAATCACTTAATACTTCCTAAAAGTCAACAGTCAAGATTCAGCTTTATACAGTAAAACCAGTCTTCTGTGCAAAACCCATCCAGCCCTTTGAAACAATACATTTACACGAGCAAGGGAATGACAGCCACCTACAGGAACCCCAGCCTCGATCCAAGGCCCACACCGCCAGCGCACCGCCTTAGAGAGCACACACCTCGAGCACCGACGCCGCGATTCCCACAGCACACAGCACACTCATAAATGCCATGCTACCGTGTGCGAACTGAAAAAAATACAGTTTTTACAAAGGTCCTTGGAGACACGGGAGTGGAATGTGCTGCGTCCAGAGCAGAAGGCGCAGAGGCTGACAGGACGTTGCCGGGGGCCAGTCTCCAGCCGGCCCCAGACCCGCGGACAGTGCCCCTCTCAGAAAGACAAGATGGTCTTGTTAATGATCTCCACGGCCTCCCGAACCTCGTCCTCCTTGATCACCAGCGGGGGCGCGAACCTGATGATGTCGCCGTGGGTGGGCTTGGCCAGGAGGCCATTATCTCGCAGTCGCAGACACACCTTCCAAGCATCGTAATCTGAAGGAAAATGATCCAACATGTATGCTGGTCAGACCATGACTCAGCACCGCCGAGTGCGCCCGGGCAGACCATGACTCAGCACCGCCGAGTGCGCCCGGGCAGACCATGACTCAGCACCCCCGAGTGCGCCCGGGCAGGTGCGGCCTGGCCCCGGCTGCCAGCCTGCTTCGCTCTCTTCTTGAAAGGAACTTACCCATCACCCAGGTGCACACCCAGGTTTGAGCAGTATAATCAGACATGGTTTTTGTTAGATTTTCATAAATGAAAAAGAAAAATATTATGTGCCAGGGCGACTGTACTAATTACATGAGGAGTCAATGAAAAAGAATGTGGGTAAGGTCCAGACACTTAGCTGGCATAGAATGGGCGCTGCCCACCACCCAGCGAACACTACGTCCTACACTGCACATGCTTCCTGGCTTGTGGGACGAGACCTGCTGCCTGCTGCCTTCACTCAATGCCGGGCCCCAGCCCACCAATTCAGAACCCCTGGGCTGGGCCAGGCTTGGATTAACTTTTTTTTTTTAATCCTCACCCGAGGATATTTTTCAATTTACCCTCAGGTAGAGACAAAGGGAGAGAGAAACATCGACATGAGAGGGGCACATCGACTGGTTGCCTCCCAGATGATCCCAACCAGGCCCAGGGACGAAGTGCAACCAAGGTACGTGCCCTTGACCCTTTGGTCCGCTGAGCCAGACCAGCCAGGGCTGATTAACTTTTATGAAAGCTCCCAGGTGACTGAGATGCAGCAAGGTGGAGCTCGCTGCTCTGAAGGAAGCATGAGCACAGGAAATCCAGCAAGGAGCCCTCCGTGGTCACAGGGGTTCACCAGGACACCGACGGCCGACCCAGCGCAGCCCGGGCTCTACCGTCATCTTCTCGTTCCTGTCACCACTGTTCCTACCGCGGCCAGGGAGTCCGAGAGGGACAGGGAGAGGGCAGCCAAGGGGAAGCTTTACGGAAAGTACTCTATGTGGCTGCATTAACAGAAAATCAGTTTAAATCTCCAAGTACTGAGTAACTAACAGAGCAGAATAACAAATGTCTTAAAAGAACAAACACCAGTCGAATTATTTAAATCGGTCAGATTATTTAAATGTGCCTTCATGTAGAAAAGACCCATATTTTTATGACTATTAACTAAGTCAGAGGACTCTCAGCCTACAAGACGTGGCCAGTAGGCGGCCAGTCGCCAGTTTCAGAGCGTCTGAGCTCTCCCACTGAGAACACTGCCTTGAAACACTCCCTCCCCATACCTTTCGTTTCTCGGATGACAATAGCGTTGAGCAGCCCTTTTCCCCGGACGGCGGTCACGATGTCCGAGGGCAGCTTCATGAGCTCATTCCTCAGGATGGCGCCCATCCTCTCTGCATTTTCAGCCAGGTTCTCTTCTTCCAAGACCTGCGTTTACAGAGACATCGCACAAATGTTGAGATTGCCTTTTTTCATGTTGTTCTTTGGAGGGAACTGTGGAACAGACGCGAAGGAAGGACGTGACTGGACTTTAACCTTCGTTTCTAGTTTTCCAAGCCTAGAGCAGTTTAACTTCCAATCGAACACACGCTGGCTCGGACAGAGCCTTGCTTTAGACACAGATCCATCATCAGTCTGATTTCACGGCAAAATGAGGATTAAAATTTGTTCAGTGCAACTGATACCACTTCTTATTGGTTGACTAAGTCAAACTATATTTAGTATAAATATAGTTTAAGTTTTTAACTGTAATAGTTTCCCTTATTTTTTTCCCTAAAAAGTCCATTCTTAGAGATTACCTAATTTTATGGCTTTGGTAGGCACCTAAGTAATAAATCTGAAAGTGTTCAAATATACACTTGAAAAACACCATGCGTGCCCGGGCTGGTGTGGCTCAGTGGACTGAGCGTTGTCCCATGAGCGCTGTCCCACTGAGAAGTCCTGGTTTGAGTACTGGTCAGGGCACAAGCCCGGTTTCGGGTTCGATCCCCTGTAGGGGGCGTGCAGTAGGCAGCCGATCAATGTTTCTCTGTCACATTGACGTTTCTATCTCTCTCTCCCTTTCTCTCTCCCTAAAAAAAAAAAAAAAAAATCAATAAAAACATTAACAAATAAATTTAGAAAACCATGATGTGTGCTAAGCCGGAGGCCTGACAAGCCAGGCCTGGTCAGTGACAACTCTAGGGGCCACCCAGCGCCCACAGGACCAAAGCGCCAGGGGCTGCAGATGCCGGATGCCCACAGATCCCCGTCTATTGAGCCAAGATTACATCACTCTGTGAGAGCGCACTGCCCCTAAAATCTTCACTCTGTTCTTCGTGTCCTGCGATACTTGGCCACCTTGTTACATTTCTCCTTATACCAATGGGCTCAAATGTAAGTCACTGCAACACGACCTCAAGAAACGAGCAGTGTCCGTCTTTACCTCGAGGGCTGCGATGGCCACACGGCAGCCTAGAGGGTTGCCCCCGTACGTGGACCCGTGCTCCCCGGGTTTAATGGTCAGCATGATGTCGTCATCACACAACACTGCAGACACCTGAAAGAGAGAATCCAGTGCCACCCAAACCGTTTCTCAGACCAACTCTTCTGATTCCTAGGCCCCCGGAACACAGGTATTTGCGAAGCTGACAGTGAAGCTTCAGCAAACATAGCTGCCCGCCTGCCCTCGTCGCTGCAGTGAAAAGCTGTGGCGTGTCCCAGCCCGGCGTCCCGGCACGGCGCGCACGGCAGCGGCGCAGGACCCGAGCACGATGGAGCTGCGACACAAGCTGCTTCTGCGATAATATAGTTCAGGATTCTCCCTGCTTCCAAGGCGGAAGGAAGGCTCTGCCGCTTAGAGACAATGCTCTGCACTGCCCTTCGGGGCCCTGCAGCCCAGCACGTTGGCTGAGGGCACAGCGCGAGCCGAACCACAAGACACTCGCTCTTCTTCATCGCTGAGTCGGTCGTGGCTTCTAGCGATTAGTAATGTTGTTTCTGAACCACCGAGAAGAGCACAGGGGTCTACAGGAATACTTTTGGGGTAAAATGTTTCCATCCAAAACAAACGCTGAAGCCAGTTCCAAGTCACTCTCAATCCTGCAGTGAAAATGGACTAAGGGGTCACCCTCTGGAACTCTGACACGTTGTCACAGACATTCCAAGGGACCTACACCACCTAAGTACAGCCAAACTAGAAGGAAAGCATTGCTGTCGCAATTGGCCGATGGAAAACTATCTTAGCTCGTGAGTGTTGGGAACAGAAAGAGGGGCTAACATTCTACTTACTGGGTACAAACCCCCTGAAAGCGCCTTCCCCAGAAGGACCAGATCAGGCCTGATGTTTTCATGGTCGACAGCCAGCCACCTCCCAGTTCTGGCCAGTCCTGTCTGTATCTCGTCCGCAATAAACAGAACCTGTGGGGCACAACCAGCAGCATCACCTGTCCGTTTCGCTTCCTGAGGGAAATAGTCATCTTCATTGTCCTCTTCCCCACAAATGGGATTTGTGACAACGTTTTTGTCGGCCGTGGGCCCTCCTGTGTCAGCTTCCCCAGAGGCCAGCCTGCAGGTCCCCCAGGGAGGACTCTGTGGGGTTCTGAACAGAACTCATCTCTGGAAACACATCAGTCAGCTCGTTTGCTCCACAAGCCCTCACGAATGTGCACTGCCTATTGCACATCTGCTGGCCGGAGGGGAGGACAGAGTCTAAGTGCTGGGTCCCGGGACAAAGGTCTGGGAGCAACCAGAGAACAGGCTGCGGGAGGGGAGAAAGGGAGGCAGGGGGCTGCCGCTCCACAGGCCCGGGGCCTGGCCAGGTCCAGGGCCCGGAGAAGCCGCTCTGTGCAAGCTCACCCATAGCAGCCCGAGCAAGTTCTGAGGCTCTCAGGAGGATGTCTCCCCCTAGTGGGAAGGTTAGGTAACCTCTGCATTTATCCCGGCAGCAGGCCCCTGGCAGGTGCAGGAGGTGGGGAAAGGGCGACCCACCTGGTGCTGGCTGCAGAGCTCCCGCACGCCCACCAGGTAGCCTGGGTCCGGAACGATGACGCCCGCTTCCCCCTGAATTGGTTCTACCATGAACCCAGCCACGTTTGGGTCCTGAAGGGCACGCTACAAGAAACAGAGAGAAGTTTTAGCTCAACTTCCTTGCTAACCTCTTTGGAACTCTGAAATCACACAGTACACATATATAGTTTCCTGTTAAGAATAAGTATACAGCCCTGGCCAGTTTGGCTCAGCAGTTAGAGTGTCAGCCTGCGGTCCAGAGAGACCCGGGTTCGGTTCCCGCTAAGGGTGCGTGCCGCGATTACAGTTTGTCCCCGGCCCCGGTTGGTCGTGCAGGTGACAGCCACTCGATATGTCCCTTTCACGTCGATGCTTTTCTCTCTCTCCCTCCCACTCTATCTGAACAAAAAATGGAAAAATGTCCTCGGGTGAGGATAAAAAAAAAAAAAAGATTGAAAAATGTCCTCGGGTGAGGATTTAAAAAAAAAAAAGATAAGTATACAAATAAAATAAGTTTTTGCACTAAATTAGATTCTTTTCTTTTTTTTTTGTACGTGCCCCTAGCAGGAATGAAACCCGGTACTCTCTGGTCCACAGGCTGATTCTCTAACCACTGAGCCAAACTAGCCAGAGTGCACTAAATTATTTCTGACTTCAAAATATAACATTTCTGATCAATTACCAAAAACTCAAATACTCCAGCTTTAAGCTATTTGACCCTATATTTTCCAACATGTAGTAAAATGTACTATAACTACAATGAGAGAAATAGCCTTTTTAAAAGCCACATTAAGTGAACCTTTTTATTTATGAGTCCTCCACTCGTAATTTTAAAAAGCTAACTGAAAACTGAGTGGTTTCATCTAGTAACTAAGCAGCTACCAGCCAAGTTAATACTCATCCAGGATACAAAGTGGCCAGCAGGTGGTCAGCATGAGACCATGGAGCCCGGGTTCCCTGTGCTGGAAACCACCGACCAGCACTGAGGCCAGTCTGAGAGCCTGGCCCAACTCACTCAGGAAGGTTCCATTAGTCACAACCTGTGTAACTCATGCGTTCTCCAACTGTGACTCCCGTGTCCTAGGAGCGAAAGCATGCGATGCTGGCCAAGTACCTCGAGAGCAGGCAGGTCGTTGTAGGGGATGAGTTCGAAGCCTGGCATAAACGGCCCAAAGCCTTCGTAACTGCTGGGGTCTGTGGAACTGGAAATAGCCGACAAAGTTCTGCCCCAGAAGTTTCCGGCTAGAAAGGAGAAACACAGTGATTAATTCAAAAAAACACCCAAACTTAGAAAGCACAGTCCCTCCAAAATACCTTAGAAATTTGAATTTTGAAAAACCAAGGGTTTGCTTTGGAGCTTCTGGTGAGCTTCCACTGGTTACAGCCGGGCCGGCCACCGCACACCGCGGTCCATTGGTTACAGCCGGGCCGGCCACCGCACACCGCGGTCCATTGGTTACAGCCGGGTCGGCCACCGCACACCACGGTCCATTAGTTACAGCCGGGCCGGCCACCGCACACCACGGTCCATTGGTTACAGCCGGGTCGGCCACCGCACACCGCGGTCCATTGGTTACAGCCGGGTCGGCCACCGCACACTGCGGTCCATTGGTTACAGCCGGGTCAGCCACCGCACACGGCGGTCCATTGGTTACAGCCGGGCCGGCCACCGCACACCGCGGTCCATTGGTTACAGCCGGGTCGGCCACCGCACACCCGGCCACCGCACACCACGGTCCATTGGTTACAGCCGGGCCGGCCACCGCACACCGCGGTCCATTGGTTACAGCCGGGTCGGCCACCGCACACCGCGGTCTGCACGGTCTGGACGGCCGCCGAGGCCTGGCCTTCGAATGCCTACCTCGGACCCTCTCTACTGGCCTCCACCGTAATGTGCACCCCAGAGCCAGCGCTGCCTTCCTCTCAGTCCCCCACCCTGACACCTCAGGCATCAACACATCACTGTCTGGAGACAGCAGCCTTCAGAGATTCAGCGTTTTCCTTTCACAACCCACGGCCGCAGGCTGACTGCTCCACGCTGATTTCAGACACCCTCAGGCGCTCTAAACGCTGTCCACTCTGCCTTCGTGCTGTCATCGCTCGTGCTCCAGGACACACACCTGCATTTGCACAGAGCATTTCCTACCCATCCGTTCATTTCACTAAGAGGAGCGATGGAGGACCCTGCCAGGCACCGTCAGAAGGACAACGGTGGCCGTGCCTGGCAGGGTCCCTGCCCTCGGAAGCTTACATTCCAGCAGGGAGAAGCCCGCAGCATAAAGCAAACACAGGAGATCATTCCAACTGGGTTAACATCAAGGAAGGAAGAAACACAACGCAGAATAGAACAGAGACTTGGGGGTTCTCCTACTTTTTAAAATATCTTCCCACCACCCCTGCCAGCAGACTCAACTAACCCTTACTGGATTTGGCTTCATAGCATCCTCAACACTCCTGCTGCAAAGCGCTCCCCTCCGGGGAGCCCCCACTTCCCGCGTCCACGAGCGGCAGCATACTGAGTCTGACCCGCTTGTTCGAGAGAAAAGGCACCAAGCGGACCAAGAGCCTATCTGCCCTCCTCATCTGGCCACGGGGCCTCATCTTCCGCCGCTCACCTGCAGCGCCAAGGACCCCAGCTGGGGACAGCCCTCTGTCTCTGTACCCCGGGACTTACCAGCTTCTTTCAAACGGGGGTGAGAACACCTCTGCACCCTTTGCTAACAGGGAAGAGTGAGAACCACAGAAACGCCGTTTCCCTGGGAAAGACAGCGGCAAGCCCAGGGCAGGTCACAGCCGTGCCACGCCACCCTCCTCAGCAGTCACCTGTCACCCCCAAACACCAACTACAGCCGGTCGTCAGCTGGACCCCGAATTCTCCTGTATCATGGGGCTTGCAGTTTAGCTGTATTTGTTCACAAGGCAGAACATTCAACTATCGCAAGAGTGGATTTTGACCATGTGCAGTGATAGATGTATCCATGCTTTATTTTCAGAATGAAAATCAAAGCTTTAAAAACAGTCAGAATCGCCCTGGCCAGTTTGGCTCAGCGGTTAGAGCGTCGGCCTGCGGTCCCGAGAGACCCGGGTTCGGTTCCCGCTTAGGGCACGTAATTTGGTTGCAGTTTGTCCCCAGCCCTGGTTGGTCATGTGGGTGGCAGCCACTCGATGTGTCCCTTCACGTCGATGTTTCTCTCTCTCTCTCTCTTCCTCTCTCTCCCTCCCGCTCTATCTGTACAAAAAATGGAAAAATATCCTCGGGTGAGGATAATAAAAAAAAACAAAAAAAACAGTCAGAATCTATCAAGTGATCATTATAGCGATACCAAAAATCAGATTAGATTATCAGGATTAACCATTGGCCCCAATCAATATTCAAGTCACCCCTCTCGGCCACTCCCCTAAATAAGCCAGGGCAAGCCCAGCCCTCCTCCCCCGCAACTTCTGAGACCCTGGCACAGCCCGCATCAGATCACGGCCCACACTTCCCACCACACAGGCAATGGCTCCGTGTAACTAACACCCTGACCTCCACCCTAACAACAGGGCTCTGCCACCGGACCATCTACTTAACCAAAAGCTGCTATGAAAATAGTCAGCAGATGAGAATTAAATCATAAAGTCACTCGTTTTAGGGAGAGAGGAGTAGGAAGTTATTTAGGTGAGAAAAACTCCATATATGAACAAATATTTGGAAATAAACCTGAGAAAAGAAAATCTCTAAATTTTTCTTTTTAATCCTCACCCAAGGGTCTATTTTTTTTTTTTTTTTCCATTTATCTTAAGATAGAGTGGGAGGGAGAGAGAGAGAAACATCAATTGGTTGCTTCTTGCCAGGAACCGAACCACAACTGAGGTACATGCCCTTGGCTGGAATCAAACCCACGACTCGCTGGTCTGTGGGTGGACTCTCTAACCGCTGAGCCAAACTGGCCAGGGCAAAGATCCCTACATTTTTATGAAGCATTCAACAACAACTAATAATCCTGTGTGAAACGAACACATTAAAAACATGTCGCCGATTGGAATGGGGAGCGTGCCGTGGGCTGCAGCCAGACCGCCGAGCTCCGCCGCACCTGCAAAGAGGATCTTTGCGCGGTACTTGGGGATGCCCTTCACGGCGTAGCCCCACCTCCGAGCAAGTTTGCAGGCGGTCTCTCCGGCCTCCACTCCTGTCGGGAGAGAAAACGCCTTCGTTTTTAAAAATGCCTTCAATCGTCAGAAAATATTAGAACTATCTGCTTGGCTAATAAAGAAAATGAAGAATTTTACCTGTGTTCATAGGAAGAACCTTGTGGTAACCGAAGAGCTTAGTGATGTACTCTTCGTACTCGCCAAGCACGTTGTTGTAGAAAGCCCTGGACGTCAAGGTCAGCTTGTCCGCCTGGCTTTTCAGGGCGCTCACGATCTTCGGGTGACAGTGCCCCTGGTTGACGGCGCTGTAAGCGCTCAGGAAGTCAAAGTATTTTCTGCCTTCCACATCCCACACGTAGATGCCTGAAATATACCGGGGAAATAATTTTAGGAAAACCACAGAATCCAGATGATATTTTAAAAATAGAAATTTTAGAAAATCACATAAAGTTCAAAAGTTAAGACTATGAGAGCACTGTGGTTAAGGCATGTTTTAGCTCAAACATAAAAAACTCTGATTTATCAAGCATTATATTTTATTTGTCCAGCTTCAAATTAAATTGAACAAGAACAGCATAACGTACATAAAAAGGTTTTACAAACTCTAGAGTGAAACTTTCACTCCTAGAAAACTGCAGTTTGCAATTTAATGTTGGAATTCAAAGGCAGCAGTTACACAGAACTTGAAAAAAATCATGATTAGTTGACAATAACAACCAACAGAATGGGAAAAATATTTCCAAATCATGTATTTATCTTATAAGGATCTAGTATCCAACACTGTCACAACCCAACAAAGACACACAACCCAATTAGAAAATGGGCAACTCTCCGAAGAATGCTATGCATAGGACACGTGCAAAAGACCAACAAGCACATGAGATGGAAGTCAAACCACAGCAAAGGCATTTCACAACCAGTAAGAGGGTTATAGTAAAAAAGGGACAACCAGCCCTGGCCAGTTTGGCTCAGCAATTGGAGCACTGGCCCAAGGACCAGAGCCACAGGTTCGATTCTGGTCAAGGGCACGCATCTCAGTTGAAGTTCAATCCTTGACCCTGGTCGGGGTTATACAGGAGACACCAATAGATGTCTCTCTCACATGAGAGAGAGAGAGAGAGTGTGTGTGTGTGTGTGTCTCTCTCTCTCCCTTTCCCTCCATCCCTACCTCCCACTCTATCTGAAAAAACATCCATGAAAAAATGTCCTTGGGTGAGGATTAAAAAGGACAGGCAGTGGTGGCCAGGGTGCTGAGGAGCTGGGTCCTTGTTTGGCACAGAGTGGACAGTGGCAGAAGAAAGGCGTTATAGTACCGTTGCAACTTCTCTCCCTTTCAGTCTGAAGTTATGCCGAGATAAAAGCTAAAGGTGTGGCTCAGTTGGCTGAGTCATCCACTCCACGGAATGGTTGCAGGTTCGATTCCCAGTCAGGGCACATGCCCAGGTCGCAAGCTTGACCCCTAGTTGGGGTGCATGACCAATGTTTCTCTCTCTCTCTCCCTCTCCCTTCCTCTTGCTCTAAGTCAATTAAAAGTTCTCCTTACGAAACACGCGAGGGAAAAAGTGACAGCAGTGTCACAGCACTTAGGTGTCTTCCATTCCTCCTGGCAGGTCCGCCAGGACAAGGACGGACTAGTCACCTTTGAGTCCCCACAGCGCCTAGTGCAGCAAGCGCCAAGACCCCCAATAAAGGCTGAATGAACCTTACCTGCAACAAAGAAACTAAAGGACTCTGGGAAAATGTATACTGAGAAAATAGAAAAGCCCTTTTTACAAAAGGCTTCAAAGCAAAAAAGGAGGAATTTTGGATTCATTCAAAACATACCTTTCCCTCTCTCCAGGGCGACAGGTAACGGGTGGTAGTTGTGTGCGCCATACTTAGACTCCCGCTCGAAAACATAGTCAGAGGATGGCGGGCCTTGGACCGTTTTCTTCGTCGCAACTGATGTAGCCGAAGCCGCTGTCGAGTGAACGGCCCGACGCAGCACAGCGACGGTCTGGAGACGTGCCAGTTTGGAAAACATCGTGTCCGTCCAGCAGGAGTGCCGCCGACCTGTCCCGAGGAAGGGGAGCAGCAGGGGTAAGGACCTTCCCAGTCACTGTGTCAGCGCGTGAGTATCACTCAGCACTCGCCACCGCCCACAGGAACCGAGAAGACGAGGGAGCCGAGACCCCTGGGAAGCTGGGAGAACACAAGGAGAACAAGGGGAGAATATTTACAGCAAAGCTGGACAAGCAGCCGGTGGACACCCAGTGCGGAGGGCAGGGCTCCGAGAGGAAGTGAGGAAAATAAGAACAAGGCTGGAGGGAGGTTCCACTTGATAGTTTGTAACAAATCAGAGAGAACAGGAACTCGCTGGGGGGCAGGCAAGGCTGACTGGCAGGCAGACAACAGGGTAGGTGCCCAGCCTCGGGTGAGCTGCCAATGAGCAGACGCAGTGCTTGGAGAGCTGGCTCGCTCCCCTGACTTGGCACCCCCGGAACCCAGTGTGTGCAGAGGGAGCGAGTACCACACACAACCAGCACTCGGTTGCTACACTTACCAACGACTCTTTCTTCCCACGGTTCAGATGCAAAGACAGACTGCTAACCCGAGATCCAGGGACTGTCTCAGGGCCCACCGACTCCTGAAATAAAACGCAGAAGTATACGCATGATCGAGGAGGAAGTCTCTAGCTTTCACCACATTTTATCTCAGAGAAGCACGTGTCAACAACAAAACAGTTGTGGAAGAAATACCAGAGCTAGCTGCCCTGCACGGAAGTTCCCGAGACGCTGCTAGGTCTGCAACAGGGACTTTAACTTCATTTCTTGGGCTCTTTGTGCTCTGATCAGTAAGAATTAATGCTTTCTTCGACCAAGTGGACACCTAAGCGCATTAGTGTTTGCCTTCATCACACGAGCAATGAAACGCAGCACTTCCAGGTGGCCCTTCACACCAGAACCCTCCCGACACGAACTGTGCTCACAGGAAACCCTTCGAAGAGCCTGTGCTGAGACGGCAAAGGCATCCGCGCGATTCCGGGGGAAGAAACACTCGCTGGGGAGCGTCTGTGCCCGTGCTCAGTGAGGGTGGTTCCACACCACCTCACGCACAATCACGTGCTGCCATTTAAATAATTACAGTTTGTAATGATATGCAGAGATGGTTAGCGTGTGTCTGAGTGAAGAAAGTAAGATCACATACACAGAACGTTCAAGTCTGCCAAAAATACACGGAAGAACTACTCTGAAAGGCACCAACGAGTTCGCTGGTCATCTTTCCGTTAGTCGGTACTTTCCACTTTCCGATGTGCATCCATTACATTTACAAACAGAAAATTTATTGGAAATGAAACCAAAAGTCTGCCTAGCTTGTCAGATTATGCAACAAAGTTTGGGCAACACACAGAACAAAACAAAGAAAAGAAGAATGCATCTGAGAAGCTTTGAGAAAATGAATAGTGGTCAAACTGAAGTCACTGCCCCCGGGAAGCACAACCTGGATTATAACAGTTAGGTCTAAAAATGTGTCTCTCGAGGGGACATGGTCAGATTCTAAAATGAAAGCTATCCCCTAACACGACTTGCTATCAAGGTCTACAGCTCTGTGACTTCACTAGAACCGGGCAGAGAGGCACATTAAAAAAAAACAGAGGTATTAAAAAATATATGAAAGCTCTCTAGCATCATTTAAGTTCATTAACAAGCTGATACAATAGTCAAGTGAAAGGAATATCGGAAATTATCTAAATTTAACATTCTCCTTTTATACAAGAAGTTATTTGCTCAGCTAACTCAACTGAAATGGGACAAAATATCCATTTATCTGCAGAGTTCAGGCAGTCTTATTAAAGAATAACAACTTCCTGTCAAAACAGTAACTTCAAAGCATCGCTAACACTGCCAGGTGGCTAGGTTGGTCCGAGCATCATCCCACAACCATAAAGGTTTGCGGGCTCAATTTCCAAGTAGGGCACATACGTACGTTGTGAGTTCGATCCCCAGAGTAAACATGTATGGAAGCAACCAATGAATGTTTCTCTCCCACACTGATGGTTCTCTTTTTCTAAAATCAATAAACACATGTCGTTGGGTGAGGGCCTTTAATCACTGATATCCACCCTTAGAGCTTCAGAGACGGCTGTGTGTCTCTGATTCGGCGGGAAGCGCCCTGCCGCTGGGTGCAAGGTGACGTACCCGAGCCCTGCGGGCACTTCTGTCCCCGCCTGCTGGGTTGGGTTCCCGTGCTCGGCGGCATACGAGAGAAACCACCACAGAAGTGAGACTGGTTTAAAAACGGCCAACATCAACCATCCCTCCCAGGAAGGCCCGAGAAACGAGAAAGGCAGAGTGAAAGTCGAGTCCGGAGACCAGGAATTACATTCTAGCTGGGCTCTAAGAGTATCTCTGCAAATACCGCGGTGTGGCTCAGTGTCTGAGTTACTGCCCAGGCACCAAGAGGTCGCCGATCGATCCCGGTCAGAGCACATGCCCTGTCGGGTTGTGGGGCCGATCCCCAGTGGGGGGCACACAGGAGGCAGCCAATGGATGTTCTCTCTCGTGGATGTTTCTCTCTCTCCCTCTCCCTTCCTCTCTCTCTAAAATCAATAAAGAAAAAAAAAATTTTTTTTAAAGAAGTCCTGGCCAGTTTGGCTCAGGAGTTAGTGTCAGGCTGCAGACCAATGAGTTGCGGGTTCGATTCCAATCAAGGGCACATATCTATCTCGGTTGCAGTTCATCCCCAGCCCTGGTTAGGGTCGTGCGGGAGGCAACCAGTCAGTGTGTCTCTCTCACCCCCTCCCACTCTGTGTGAAGATAAATAGAAAAAAAAATGTCCTCAGGCAAGGATCGAAACAAAAAAAAAATTTTTTTAAAGTATCTTTGGCCCTGGCCGAGTTGGCTCAGCGGTTACAGCAACGGCCTCAGCGACGGCCTGTGGACTAGAGAGTCCCGGGTTCAGTTCCCACTAAGGGCACGTACCTCAGTTGCAGTTTGTCCTCGGTCAGAGCTGGGGTCGTGTGGGTGGCAGCCAGTCGATGTGTCTCTCTCACAACAATGTTTCTCTCTCTCTTCCTCCCTCTCTCCCTCCCGCTCTATCTGAAGATGAATGCAAAAATGTCCTTGGGTGAGGATAAAAATAAATAAAATAAAAGTATCTTTGTATGATCTTTCTGAGCTCCAGTTTCCTCATTGGTAAATGAGGTTGAAGCCAGGTCCGAGGATCTAACTGATCAAATGAGATAATGTTAAAGCGACAAACCCAGCACAAATGGCCACTCAATTGAGTCTTTTATTCCTTTAAATTTGTAACAGAATTAGCCAATTTTAGCAATATAAGTTATAAACAGTGCCGTGGTTTGTTTTTGTTTTTTTTCAAACTAGAGATTTTTTTCCTTAAAAAAGAAAAACAGCCCTGGCCAGTTTGGCTCAGTGGTAGAGCGTCGGCCTGTGGTCCAGAGAGACCCGGGTTCGGTTCCCACTAAGGGCATGTACCTCGGTTGCAGTTTGTCCCCGGCCCTGGTTGGGTCATGTGGGTGGCAGCCATTCGATGTGTCCCTTTCACGTCGATGTTTCTCTCTCTCTCCCTCCCTCCCCACCCTATCTGAACAAAAATGGAAAAAATGTCCTCGGGTGAAGATTAAAAAAAAAAAGAAAAACAGTAAAATTTTTCTATTGATTAAAAAATGAGAAACACAGCCCAGCCGTGTGGCTCAGCGGACTGAGCACTGTCCCGGGCACCAAGAGCATGCTGGTTGGATTCCCAGCAGGGCACATGGCAGGCTGCGGGCTCAGCCTCCAGTAGGGGGCATGCAGGAGGCGGCTGATCTATGTTCTCATCAATGATTCTCTTCTCTCGCCCTTCCTCTCTCTCTAAAAAATAAATAAATAAATAATTTTTTTAAAATTAGAAACACAGACGAGAAAATCACCAGCAATTCCTCACTTTGGAGATAACCATTTAGATTTTTTTTTCCTATGCAGAAATACTATACACATTAGCTTTTCTCACCCTCCCCCGCAGAATTTACCACACAAAACCCTCCTGAAGATCCCAGGTAACCTTGCACAAGCTTTGGTCACAGGTCCTAACACTTTGGACACTTGTCTTCATGCCTGTCCCCCTGCGAGAGTCCTACTAGGCTCCCTAAAAGGACAATCACCATGTCTTCAAACGCACTTTGCGTCCCCAGAACCTCGCCTGGTTTGGGCACCCCATGGCATGCCTTGTCTTACAAGGAAGGTCATCCCAAAGTCCACTTAGACTCGGGGCTCCTGGAGGGTCAAGGCAGCAACAGGAGGAGAGGAAGGCCCGAGAGACAAGTCACCATCCGAACCAAGTCGGATCCAGCTCCGCCAGGAAGCCAGCGTTCTCTGAGCCGTCAGAGTAGAGCATCTAATCTCTTCTACGAGTTCACTGCGGCCCTGGCCAGAGTGGCTCAGCTGGCTGGGCGTCCTCGGGTACACCAGGAGGTTGCCGGTGGAGCCCGGAGGGGGGCGTGCAGGAAGCAGCCAGTCAGAGAGAGAGAGAGAGAGAGAGAGGGAGGGAGGGAGGGAGAGAGAGAGAGGGAGAGAGAGAGAGAGAGAGAGAGAGAGAGAGAGAGAGAGGGAGAGAGAGAGAGAGAGGGAAAGAGAGAGAGAGAGAGAGGGAGGGAGGGAGAGAGAGAGAGATCACTTCACTAGATTTAATGACCTTCATAGGTCAAAATCATGTGTACTAAGTGTGAACATTCCAGGCTGTTTTGTATTTAACCACACTCAGGTCCTGGAGGAGAGAAAAAATTGCTATTGACAGCAAAAATTTTAACATCGAATGTTTTTAATAATCCACATAATTAATGAAATCCTTCTTCAAGCTACTATTACTCCCGGCTGTCTAATCCATCCTATTTACATTAAAACATACCTAAGAATTTCCATAAAAGGTTGCATCTTGAAGTTACTTTAGCCTACACTGCAAAATACTATTTTTTAAAATTCACTCCGAGAAAAACCAGTGTAAATCCATTAAAAAAATTCCACTTGAACAAATTTGGTTTTGCTCTATTTGTCAAATATTTACTTTTCTTGAGGTAACCATTCACAACAAACACATTTTTTCAAAAGTTCTGCCAGTAAGTATTTGGGTTTTTTTTATTGCTTTTTTTTATGTAATCTGGCTAAAATTCAACTGAAATGCGTCACTGGCAAGCACCTTAAGCAGTACTGTTGAAAAAGGGCTGGCTCAGCTAAACAACACCCTCCACGCACCGTCAAAAACTGGTCCACTCATCACCAGTTTAAAATGTATAAGATTCCATCCATCCTCACAAACTCAGGCAAGAGCATAAAATATGCACACAAGTAACTGTAATAAGGCAGAGCGTGGGGGAAATACAAATAAGATAGCCTTATTAAGGGAGAAATGCCTTTCAAAGAATTTTTACTATTTAAATATTACTGGAAATTTTGGGGAAAGGATGCAAAATTAATCTCAAACACTGAAAAATTGTAAACCTAAAACAATAAGCCTCTTTATTTAAGTCTTGTTTTTCATCAAAAGATTCTTCTCTCCTACTTGGATCTTTTTCATTGTCAGAAACTAGATTCTCGGAAGAAGGAGCCAGGATATTCTAATGAAGGAAGTCACTCACTCCTTTCAAATGTTTATTTTGAATCCATAAGATAAGTAATTTGGATCCAAGACCAAAAGAACAAGTTTTCACCAGCACCTCCACCCTGCCACCCCCTCCACCGTCACCCCTCCCCGACCCCCACCCGCCTTCCTCTACCTCTCACCCCACCCCCAGGTGGGTAAGTATTTGTGTGTGGACCCATGTACAGAGAGGTCACTGGTTCCACTCCTGGTCAGGGCACATGCCTGAGTTGCAAGACTGATGTTTTTCACATGATGTTTCTCTTTCCCTCTCCCTTCCTCTCGCTCTAAAAACCAATAAAGCCCAGCCCATGTGGCTCAGGGGTTGAGCACTGACCTATGAACCAGGAGGTCCCTGGTTCAATACCCAGTCAGGGCACATGCCTGGGTTGCAGACTCAATCCCCAGTAGGGGGCATGCAGAAGGTGGCCAATGGATGTTTCTCTCTCTCCTTCTCCCTTCCTCTCTCTGCAATTAATACAAACATTTCAAATAATAATCAATAAAAACATTTTTTTAAAAAGAACAGTGTTTGCCAAATTGCTACTCCCTTCTCCACTCCCTGTTTCTTTATTTTTAATATTTTTATTGATTTTTTTAGAGAGAGGAAGGTAGAGAGAAACATCTGTTAGAAACACTGATCGGCTGCCTCCTGCACGCCCCCTACTGGGGATCCAGCCCGCAACGCGGGCACGTGCCCTGACCGGGAATCGAGCCGGGACCTCTCGGTCCAGGGGACGACGCGCCATCCACTGAGCCACACCGGCCAGGCTCATTGATGTTTCTACCTCTCTCTCCCTCTCCCTTCCTCTCTCTCTAAAAATCCATAAAAACATTTAAGAGAGAGAGAATAAGTTTGCCCACAGAAACTCTTCCTCTTACGAACCCCGAAAAACTGGAGAGGAGCCATTTCTTAAACTAAAGCCACTTCATCCCAAAGTCACTCCTTCTGCATCCCCCTAATTTATCACAACGTATCAAATCGATGAAACTGAACCCCAGGAAGGTAAGAGATCTCGTGACAAAGGGAGGCGGCGGCAGGTCACCGAGAACAGGTGTCCCAACGCATTCAACCGGCAGTACTGATGCTCGGCGCTGCTGGGGAAAGACCCCTAATGAAGTCTCCCTGCTGCAAGCCCTGTGGCCCCAGTGCCCGCCACCAGCTGACTGACCTGCACGCCACTTCCTGCCGGTGGGTAAGACCGGCTCGAGCCCGTATTCGTGGTCAAACGACCACGGGAGGGGGAGGGGAGGGCCGAGCAGGCGGGCCACGGGGCCCAGGCAGCTGCCGGGAGGCCTGCAAGGGAGCCCCTGCAGCACAGAAGCCACCGTGGTCCGAGCAGTTCCGTCGTGCCCAGGGGTGCGGCACCCTCCAGGCCGACCCGGGAGCCCAGGGTGCCCGCGGCGCCCAAACGTCTCCTGCCGGGAAAGCCCGGGCGCGCAGGAGGCGCGGGGCCAAGGCGCAGGCACCTCGGGGCGCTCGGGGCCCGGCCGGCTCCGCCCGCCCTGGGAGGCGGAGGTGCCACATCCACAGCCTCGCAGCCTCCTGCCTCCCTCCCTCGCCCGCGGCCCCCGGGCCCGTGACGCCGCCGCCGGCTGCAGAGGCGGAGCCTGCCCGCCGGCCCGCAGAGGCCCAGCGCGCCCCTCAGCCCGCTTCCCCGGGGCCCGGCGCGGAGCCGCCCGCGCCCCTCGGCCTCGCCCGCCGCCGCAGGGGGCGCCCGGGCCCCTCCCGAGCCCCGGACCCGCCGCGCCCGCGCGGATACCTGGCGGCACCTCCGAGACCAGCCGGGGACCAGCGGCTTCCACAGGCTGCAGGGGCCGGCGCGACGCGTCACGGAGCTTAAGATGCGGCTTCCGCTCCGCCCCCGGGCCGCCCTCGCCTCCCATTGGCTGACGTTGGAGGCCGGGCACCAATCGCCGTGGGCCCCTCGCCCCGCCCCCCGTCGGCCCCGCAGGCGCGCGCCGAGGACCCTGCCTGGCACCGCGGGAGCCGCTGCTCGGGTCGCTGCCGGTGCCTGCGCCCGGGCGCCCGCCTGGCCGGTGCCTTTCCCGCGGTCTCTCTGCCCGCCCTTTGCCGATGTGCACACGAGGCCGGAAAGGATGAAACATCGGCCGGACCCTCTCGGGCTCGCGGCGTTCCCTGGGCCCGCGCCGCACCCCGCCCTGCCCCGCGGCTGTGCCCCCGGCCCCGCGCCCCGCGGAGCCTCACCGGGGCGCCGACGTCAGCCCCACCCTGCCGGCTCTGCCCCTCGCCCTTGACCCCGCGGGGCCGCCGCGCCGTGGCGCTCCGGAGTCCACCCCCAGAAGTCAGCGCGGCAGCTCGGACCTCCGCCGCCGCCTGCGCCCCGAACGGCTGCCTGCACCCAGCCAGCTCCCCCGGGCGCCTGCGGCCCGGGTAAAACCCGCGTCGACACGGATAGTCCGGGACCACCTCGTGTTGAGATGGGAAGGGACTTGGACATCTTTTAGTCTACACTATTGTTACATATTGGGTAGCAGGCTGGGAGAGGACACGCGACTTGCCCAGGGTTTTGCAGTCGCAGACAGGGACAGGCTCAAACTCAGCACCCTGTTCCACTGGATGAGTCGGGGCCCCAGCCGGAAGCAGATGGCATGCTCCAGACTGTACATCGGAGGTCTGCTTGTGAAAGAAATCGTTGAAATGTGGACAGGGAAACCACAAGGGCTGGAGAAGTAACCCGGAGCCAGTGCCCCAGAGGGGCCCTGGTCAACTCGAGGCCTACGGAGAGAGGTTTCCAGAACTCACATCTGCCTGGGACACAGTCATGCGCGACCCCACGGGAATGGAGCTGGGGTTACCCATGGGCTGAGCCCATTGGGAAGCCGGAGACTTAGGGTGACGCCTTGCAAGTCAGCCTCCTGGGACACAGACAGTGTGGGGAAGGGCAGAGAGTAGATAGGGTTAAAGAGCAAATGGAAGACATTCGACATACATAACCCGCTGAGCGGAAAGTAAAGTCAAAGCTCCTCATCAGGGCCCTGGCCAGTGTTGCTCAGTGGTTAGAACGTTGGCCCGAGCACCCAAAGGTCACGATCCCCAGTCAAGGGTTGCAGGTTCAACCCCCTGTCCCAGTCGGGGCACTGGGCAGGAAGCAACCAATGAATGTGTCTGTCTCACACGTTTCTCTCTCTCCCTGTCCCCCATTCTCCCTCCCTTCCACTCTGTCTAAAAAAATCAATGAAAAGCCCGGCTGGTGTGGCTCAGTGGTTGAGCGTTGACCCTGCACCAAGAAGTCACCTCTATTTTCAGTCAGGACACATGCCCAGGTTGTGGGCCCAGGCCCCGATGGGGGTGATGCAGGAGGCAGCCAATCGATGTTCTCACTCATCGGAGTTTCTCTGTCTCTCTCCCTTCCCCTTCCTCTCTCTAAAAAAAATCAATAAAAAGAACAAAAAATTAAAAATACATAAAAATCAATGGAAAAAAATATTCTATAAGGCAGGGGCTGGAAAATGGTGTGGACACAAAGGCAGAGCCATAAATAGTAGAGCTCAGGTTTGCAGATGTCCAGAGCAAGACCCCAAAAGGGATTCAGTCCTCCTGGGCTCCATCTGCCCTAGACCAAGGTCATGTACTCCAATTGCTATGGCCAGGCAATCTTTGGAGCTCACTGAGAGTAGGCCTATCCCTTTTTTTTTTTTTTTTTTTTTTTTTTTTGGCTATCCCTCCACTACCCTGAATACAGTGTGATTAATTTCTTGGAAGTTAGCTAGTTCTGCCCAAGAGAAGTCATTTCTCTGTGTTCCTGCTCTATAAATCTAAGCAGGTGTGTAAAGCCAAGCCCAGCTCTTGGAATAATTACAAAGCCCAACAGTCCCAGGTTATGCCTTTGCAAGTAAGAGCAGGTGTTTCCGAGTTCAAAAAGGGGGCGTGACACCATAGGCTGGAATGCTTTGGGCCTCACAGATAAGGTGCTCTTTAACAAAAATGCTTCCATATGCAAGAAACTGCTGAGAATTGTCTGGGTTTTATCTCTTTCTTATCAGAAAAAAATGCAGTAGGTACAGAGAGCATGATAATATTTTATAGTTTCTCTATTAGCAGTTGTTTTTCAGCTTAACATGGCCTTGGAGAAGAAAGTAGCCTGTTTTCAACCAAGATTTAGAGATATTCTATTGCCATGTATTTTATTTGTACAGTCTGGAGACAAGGACAGAGCATGCATTACAAAGATTCTTGAGCCTCAACTGTTCATAGATTCCAGCATTTAACTCTACGGGAGCCATAAAACCGAAAGACAGAAAGTCTGATCCCATTTATTTCATCAGTTCATTCAACAAACATCCCTTGAGTTAGAGATATGAGTGCATAACAGATGTTAAAGCTGAAAAGCTGTAAAGACCTAATCTAACACTTTTAAAGATAGGAAAATCCAAGTCTCCGAGGTAAAGGGCTCCAGCCAGTCTTACAAAATAGGTGATAGGGTACCAAGAAGCCAGGTCTTCTATCCCATCATGCTTCGCTCCAGACACTTAATCAGCAAAAAGAATTTCAACTAAGAACAAAAAAGTTTAAAGTCAACTTTTTTTTTTTTTTTTTTTTTTTTTTTACAAAAACTTAAGTAGTGAGTCAACAGCAACATTTATTTGGAAAATATTTACATTGTTCATTGACTTAAAAATAAGAGAAACCTCAAATACTAGTTAAATATTTACATCCTTATCTACTCAGGTACTGAGAAGCTCAGTGTATTTGGCAATGATTTTTTTTAAATTGATTGCATGAAGGGTAACTGAGTGCCAAAAGTTGGATAACTTTTGTTACTTTTCTTTGGAGAACTTTAATTCTGACTCTTTTTTTGTTGAACTATAGTAAAAATAACAATAATAATTAACTAATTTAAAATAATTCAACTTTTTCTCCTAAAATTGTTGACTTAAATAAATTGGTTTTAAGTTTTTTTTTAAAGATTTGTGTTTGTTGATATTTAGAGGGAGGGGGAGAGAGAGAGAGAGAGACATGGGTGTGAGAGTAGAACATGTATTGGCTGCCTCCCGCACAGCTCTTACTGGGGATCAAGCCCCAAACCCCCACATGTGCCCTGACCGGGAATCGAACTGGCTACCTTTTGGTGCACGGGATGATGCCCAACCAACTGAGCCACACCGGCCATAGAGGTTCTAAGATTTTTTAAATTTCTAAGTGACATGCTATTAAATAAATATAATGTGGTAGTATACATCATTTCAACTTTGTTAGAGGCACTTAAGTTTTATTTTGCTCAGAATTTTGCCAGGAGTTTCTCGCTGTATTGGAAAGTCGAGTCACAGATGACAGTGCGAGTCCTGATATCCACGTCACCAACATGCTCAGCATTTGCGGCTGCCATATTCTTGATAGAGGTACACGCCCTTCTCTTTTCTTTTCACACAGATTCTCCCCCAAAGGGGTTTCAGTGATAAAGATTCATTAAATCCTTAAATTGGGGATGAGAAATTATATTCTTCTGGTTTGATTTACTGCATTGATGAAACTGACTTCTGTTTTGTGACGTCTGACTCCCTAGTTCACAAAGCACCGTGCTGAGCTCCAAGAGAGTCAACGGACTGAATAAAGAGCAGCGCTGAGCTTCAGTGTGTCTGACTGATCCGTGCTCCAGTAGGCATGTTGGCAGCTCACAGCCCCTGCGGTGCACACCGACAGTAGCTAAGATTCAGGTTGCAGCACCAAAAAGTCCAAAAGTCAATCCTGACTCCACCCCTCCTTAGCTGGGTAACAGGAGACACCCCCCACCCCCAGATCACCTACCCATCTTGTAAGCCGGGCTGTCCTGAGGATCACTGAGAGATGTGGTACCCTAAAACATCCAGTCACGCCCTGGCCGGTTTGGCTCAGCGGTTAGAGCGCCCGCCTGCGGTCCGGAGAGACCCGGGTTCGGTTCCTGCTAAGGGCATGTACCTTGGTTGCAGTTTGTCCCCGGCCCTGGTTGGTCGTGCGGGTGGCAGCCACTCGATGTGTCCCTTTCGCATCGATGTTTCTCTCTCTCTCTCTTCCTCTCCCTCCCTCCCGCTCTGTCTGTACAAAAAATGGAAAAATGTCCTCGGGTGAGGATAAAAAAAAAAAAAAATCCAGTCACTCCGAAGCCACCCAGCAGCCCAAAACAGTAGTGGCATTGTTATTGTTATTTTTATTTGCGACGAAGAGTAACTGTTTTTGTGCGAGTCCTCACCATCATCATCGGCCCGAATCGTCCATCTTCCTCAGGTTCCTGTTGGAATCTAAATAAATCACGTTATACTTAGAATGCTAGAAACGTGTCGTTGAAAAAGGCAGCAATGTTGTGTCACTTTGATGTGCTGGAATACATTTAGAAAAGGCGATTTATTTTATGTTGAGGGAAGAGTCACTCCGCTCAGAAACGGTTCCTACTCGGGCCGGAGAGTTCTCTGTGCTCCCTGGAGTTCCGGACGCTCCGCTGGGCCAGATTACAGGTGAGGAATTCCACTCTGAGCTGGCCTTCCTCTGGTCGATGAGCAAGGTTTGGTAACAGCTTTGCATGTGTGTTAATTTTCTAAAGGAAACAAAATAAACCCAGGGGGTCAGCCCAGTGTCTCCCTGGGCTGATTGTCTGAAACAGTTTCAATTCTCTTTAATATCCAAAGATTAACTTTGAAAACCTTCAGATTATCTAAAGTATCTAGTTCCTTTCCTTCCTTCCTTCCTTCCTTCCTTCCTTCCTTCCTTCCTTCCTTCCTTCCTTCCTTTTTTAGATAATTCTAAGGAACTGCTTTCTTCTCTGACATTTTCCCCACCCCCAGCAACTTCTCTTTGTTCTGTAATTAGTTAATACAGTAGTTTCCTTTGCAAATCAAGACAAATTAAAA